TGTTTAAAAAATTATTAAAACATTATTGAAAAAAAAATTATTAAACGTTTGAGTCGGAGCTATTCCTGTCAGCGATATTCCTTAACCTCTGCTTTTGTTGTTTCGGGACATCTTCGGTCATTTAACGCTTAGTAACGATTTTTTCGAATGCCTTCGAATGTTACACGGAATATTAACAGGTGATCGCACTGTTTTTCGGTGCTAACTTGATGTTTCTCTCATAGTGTACTACGATAAATATCATACAATCATTTCACAATGGCGCGTGAAAAAAGAAAGCTTTACCTTGCAGAAATGTCTTAAAAGAAGTGATCGGTGCATCAAGAAAACTTAGAGGAAAAATTGTTTTTCTTTAAAGAGAGAGCATTTTACCGTTTGAATCAGCTAATTATTTCCAGTAGATCCGAAGATTTAATTTTTCAGTTCCAACCGTGGCACCACAACAGATGATAGTCATCTCAAAATAATTTCACAGTGGCGTCTCTGGCACTTAATTGAAAAAAAAAAAGACTTTTTCCATACAGAAATATCTGAATAGATTTGATCTGCACATCGTGAAAACTTAGAAGAAAAATTTCGTTCATTCGAAATTGATCATTTCAACCAGCGACAAATACTCAGAAGAGCCGCTAAATTTGCGAAGCGAGCAGGTCCAGAATACGTTGAGTTCAACAGGGTGACGCCATTCGATGGAATGGAGGAGTGGTGGAATGGCGGAATATTCTACATCGAGATATATGGGATTGCCTTATTGTAAGAAACAAAAGTCTCACAAAAATGAATTGCAATGAAATGAGAAAATGATTTGTAATTAACAAGCAAATCAAAATTTAAAAAAGGCTAGTTTAATCATTATTGGAGCCTACGGACAGACCGACAGAGGAACAGTGAAGTTCTTGAGCTAGCCCCTACAAATTATTATCACTATTACTTTTGTTATCATCATCATTATTATTTTTATCACTAATATGATTATTTGTTACCATTAAATTAGTAGGTGAGAGTCAATTTTTCAGCTCAGTATGCTCAATGGTTGTCTTCACGCGGCAGGGACTGGATCACAGGAAGGTTACAAAGTGATCTTGACTAGTTCCCAGTGCTTTTGGCCTGATGGTCTTCAACCCAAAACACTCTTTACCTCATGTTATGCGGTGCATGCGGTGCGGCTCGTTAGTACTTTTGTAAGAGGACAATTTCATTTCGGCGTACACCACATATTTAACAATCCTAAGGAATGTACATTTGCTGACACTTTCGCTATGGTTGTCGGTGCATTTCCGCTCTTTAAACTGGCAAGTTTAGCCGTGAAACAAATTTCCAAACCGATAGCAAACAGTCTGAAGACCACAGCGAAACAGAGCGATTTCTTTAGGAAATATGTTTGTATCTGGCCTGGGCAAGGTGAGGGATATTGTGATGGCACGGATGTCGACCCTCGTTTGTTATCTCTCAAGGTCCTTGCTCAGCTCAAGCTCAGCTCGTCTTTAGGTTCTTTCACACCGTTCAGTTTTCTTTGGTTCCATAGCAGTATCCAGTTTAAAAATGTAGTTCCAGAGTTAAGTAAATGGTCGCAAAAACAAAACTTGAGAGTGCAAGCCTCTCGTCAATTTCTTGCTGAATCACAATAAATTTCTGTTGAGTTACATTGTATTCCCAAACAGAGCCAAATTGAAATTTGTCGATCATCAGTCTTTTGCCATCGCACATGTAACTATCGCCTTTGGAGAGAAAAGTCATGACTTTTTGGCCCGTTCTAGACTCAACCAAGTTAGGAAATTTTTTTCATGTTTGCATTATCTCAAAGCAGTCATTTAGGGTTGAGAGAATTTGAGACAGTTATGCAAACTCAAGTCGCAGGGTTTGCAGATCTTTTCAGAATTGAGAGTGTGAGAAGTATTTCATTGATTATATAAGGTTTGATCCATTGCCAGCACCAACTTACTGGACTGTCTTTTTGATGCCTCAAATCTGAAAAGTTGGGTTAGTTCAAGTCTAGTTTTCTTATGGGGTGGTGGCAAGGTAATGCAGACGCACCGCGTATGATATGAAAGGAAGACGGCCTTAACCATAGCAACATATACGTCCTCTAATTCAGGGAAAAAATTTCCAATCAACTTCTTTTTTCTAGAAACTAAGTAGTATAATAGTTTATGTCGTTAAAAAGAAAGAAAAACAGGAACCAGCAGTGGACAATTATCCACATAAAGCAAAACAAACTTTACAAGGAAATCAACTTCCCAATTGCAATGACAAGATTCAAAAGTTTTGTGCCCTCACCTTGATTTTGAATGTAAGTTTCCAAAAGATAAGCTGAGTATTTTACCTCAGAAACAAACTATCTTGACAATGGCTATGTTTCATCCTATTTCCTTCTTTTTCATACTGTAAGAGGTGGCTGACACTGTAAGAAAAACTATCTGCAAAGGTACCAATCTATTTACACTAATCCTAAGTTAGCTAACAGCCCAGCACAAATAAATACAAAATCCTGATCATAAATTGATACTTCATCCTCAGGCTATCACTGGCTGGAGACAAAAGTCAAAATGAAGTTAATGGGACTTGCTGGTCCAGAAAAAGTACCACCGCTGAGTGAACAAAAAGCAGTAGATGTTGGTGCTGAGCTCTTGGGTGAATCACTGGTATTTGGTGTGGCAGCAGCTTTGCTCTTTCTAGAATATAGACGAGGGCAGAAGAAAGAAGAAGCTAAAGAGCAGAAACAAAACGAAAAGTTATTTGAACTTCATAGTCAGGTCAAAGAGCTTGAGCTTTTGGTAGAGACTAATGCAGCTCAAGTGCGTGAGTTAACAAGACTTGTCCATAGCAAAGACAGTTAACTAAAATAAAAAATATGACCTTGTAATTGATTGAATTCTCCTCTGCATTTTAGTCAAAATTTCATTTATTAATAAGTATCTTGCCACTTCTGTGTAAAATTTTGTTGTTGAGATGCAAATTTGTGCTTATGTTGATGTGTATGATTTTATTTCTCACCAAAGGATTTGATTCTTTTTCAATTGTTGGAAAAAGTATACCCTAAAAAGCCCAGAAATTTTAGTTTACTTGTATTTGTGAATTGGCGATATTAATTTTTACCCCAGATTAGATAATATCCAAAATGGCTACCCCAGAAATCTTTTAGAAATAATTTGAGGTATACTCTGTGTATCCTTGATGTGAAAAGGGTTACAGGGTGAAAATCTTTGTGTTCCTAACTTCCTTGCCTCCAAGTAATAAACTAATCAGTATTTCTAACATTCATAGATAACATGAGATTCAACAGCTATCATTTATTTGCCTTCAAAGTTTGAATGTTATTTTATGAACTGTTTTCTATGGGAAGTCAGTAGTGGCATTCATACTGAACAATTTTTATAGGAAATATTGAAAAGACAATCTATTATGGAGACTTTCTTTTTAGCTACAGGTTTGATTCTACATGTAAACTGTGTAGTTTACTTATAAATATTTTGGGGAGTGTTTCAATCAAAATTGTTGTAGCTCAACTTTTTTTGCAAGGTGTTGGGACAGAAGATGTTTTTCCTCTCTTTTGTAAGATTTTGATGGACATGGAGTTGAATGCACCTTCTACCCTTCTCCACCACCCTCATGGCCAGATTTGCCTCTCAACTTTCCTCCACTCATTCTCTGGAAATCTGTGACTTTGAGGTAGTGATTTTGAGTCATATTCAACCTTTTCCCCAAAAATAATTTTCTATGTGATTGCTTCATCTAAGTTCCACCCTCCTACTCAGAGTCACTTAAATGGGTGGAAAGAAATCCATTAATAGATAATGATATTACAATGATTTAATAGTTATAACTACAATTAAAATAGTAGTAGTAGTGATAATAATAAAAATAATAATAATAATAATCATGATAATAATAATCACAATAATGATAACAATATATGAAATAATGACAAAAATTGTGATAATAACGATAAATTGCAGAACCATAATTATTGCAGAACCATAATTATTCAATTGATAACACACAATTGATTCTCCTAATTTAAGGATGAAAAAGGTGCCTAACTCTGCTGGCTACTGTTTACTGTAACACACTCTTGACTCATGAGAGTGAGCTACTGAGTCTCCTAACCTACTCCTGCCAAGCACAGCAATTTCTTAATTGTTTTTATAAATTTAACATCTTTCTATGTAGAATTTTATTTATTTGATATAATAAAGAGCGAGAAAATATACTCATTGAGTACTGAAAAACCATGGTGGACTTATTACAGTACATTTGCTGTGGCTATAGTGTTGCGTGACTTCGGTCACGTTAATCAAAGTTGTTGATTTTCAGGAGATGATCGACAGTGTGCGACTGTGATAATGACCCGGGAAACATTACTTTTCGTTTTCTTTTAACAATAATCGTGGATTCGTTTTCTCGATCTCAACTTTACGAAGAAGCTTAGGTTGCGCTCTAAGTTACAATGACGATTACGTCATTATTCAATTTCCGTAAAAGACTGGGGCCAGAAATCTAAGTAAATTCAGTACTCCATGACCGAAACAAAGGTTTCGTGCTGCACTCTTCCTCATTGAGTAACAATGTGTTGATTATTTGTGTATTTTATGGAGAAGAGTTTAATTTCCGTGGAAGTATGTAGACTGATTGAGGAGGAACTTGGCATTGACCGATCGCGCATTCGACCATGTTTTGACCAAAGTAGAAGCCGTGTCAGTTGTCTAGTAAGTGAGACTACTCGTCTTATCTTAACGTACCATGAAATCACATTTCTTGCGATTTCTCCTCTGGAAGATTTTTGATATCATGTGGTTATAATTTTTTTTTGGGGGGGGGGATTCTGGAAGCTTAGGTAAAGCTATAAAATGCGATGCAACACACGTGTAGGATTAATGCAAGCTTATTTAAGCTTTCATTAGAGTTATGGTGTGCTTGCTTTTTTTAATTCTCACAAGCTGAAACGATGTCGAACACGATGTTTCATTTTCTGATGGAAATCGTTAATTTCTTCATCACCTCCTATATGCAAGATCCAATCTAAGTTGTGCTTTATGTTTAAAAGACACGATAGGTATTTCCTGAATAATTGGATTCGGTGAAACGTCAAAGTCGTCGATGGTTTCTGTAGCAAAGAACAGTATGACTTTTATTCTGGTTAGCGCACATCTTTGTTTCCCATAAGCTAAACTGTTTCTTCTGAAGTGTAAAATATTAGTGTATCATAACCTGCTGCGAGACAAATATGACAGCTCTACTGACTGTGAACTCTTGTAAACGCTGCACAGATTCTCGAGAGAATCGGCCGACACAATCTACATGGTGGGCTCACTCACCTGTCCAAGCTGTAGACTAAACAATCGATGAATGATGATTATGTGATATTTAAAGCTACCAAGGCTATGCAATGGTATCATTCACAATTCATGAAAGTGACTTTGCTCGTGGAAGTATACACCCTCTTATCTCCTCTGGCTATATACCTACCATCCACAGAGTGCCTCATTCAGTCCAGGGCTCATGTATGTACTTATTGACTTACTGGTATTTGAAGGGCAAAATAATTGGCTTTAAAGCCATGATGTTTGGATAGATGGCAGTGAGGTGTATGCATCCTGACTGATAGCCAAGTATTTTTCTTTCCAGCTTGACCAAACTCGGTGAATAAATATAAATTTTTTCATCACCCAAACTGCAGTGTTATACAAGGATTTCAAGCCCTGAGAAAAGCTGTAACAACACTTGTGAAAAAATATGTAGTTTTCCATGTGTGTTTGATATTCCCAATCAGCTGCTGACACATCACTCTTCTTTCACATCACTCTGTCTTGCTGATGAATGAAAGGTAAAGCCTTCACCATTCTCAATCCAAGGTCGTTTGTCAAATTTTTTTCTGATTATGGCTGCTAAAACACTGAAAAATTTGTATTGCTCTGAGACAGTGATGTTCAAAATTTTCTTGAAGGGGAAGAAAGCCAAAATGCAAAAAGAAAAACCCTAAGTTGCATTCTTAATGGCTTTGGTAATGGCATTTCTGGCAAGAACAAAAACTGACAATTTAAAGAATTGCCACAGTGTGATTTTGGTGGTGTTCCTGAAAATATTTCTTCTGATGGCAAGGAAAAACTCAACAACTGAGGAAGTTGAAAATTGAAAGTTATGCTCGTTGTTTGTTTATGTAAAGATTTAACATGTTTTTTATCCTGAGCCTTGTAGCCAATGCACTTTACTACTTTTTTGCTGGGATGGATCCAATTTCTTTCATTCATTGTTAAAGTTAGACTTTTTTGCAGGGATGGATCCTATCTTTTTCATTCAGTAATACAGCTGACTTTTCTTGTCTGTAAAGGGTGTTTATCACTTATAAGCCATCAAGTGGAACACTCCAAGAGAAATTCCTTATCTACACATGCCCATGTATTATTCACTTTATAACATGACCACTTCTTGTAGATCTTAAAGATTTGTTTAATTATTTGTCAAACTTAAATACAATGTAGGATGCAGTTAAGTGTATAAGAAAAGTGTAAGTCCACATTCAGAATCCATGCTGTCAGAAAATGCAACAGAGCTGTGAGAATTGAGGGCCGGGTGGCTTTCTGTACCTCAACCTTTCCAGCCTTCATGGTTTTATATATGATTGCTTGAGCAGGAAGGTATTTTTTTTTTACTCACAATGATAACTCCAACCTAATTTAGCTATATTTTAATGCAGACCCTCAGCTTTTAAGCACAATTAAGGATTTAGAATGTTTTTTAGAAATGGAATACTTCCAAACTAAAACAGATGCACCATAGACAAGATTATGATACACATGAAAAGCCTGACCAGACCTATGGGTCAGATGAAAAGTTCTCAAGACCCATGCTTTTTCAAGGCACAATTTGGGAGCTCTTTTTTGAGGTTATGACATTGTGGAAATTGTAATCAATTAATTGCACCATTTATTGGTTGGATAGAAGATTTAATTAATTCTAGCCAACTTTTATTCAGTTCAGGTTTTTGGAAAGAATTCCTGGAGTATTTTGTACCCTTTGATACATTAAATACTATTGAATTTTTATTATACTCCAGGGCGTGAAATTGCGCCTAATACAGGCGCCAATGCGCCTAAATTTTTCACTTTGGCGACCAAATCCTGAAAGTTAGTCGCCAAATTGGTGACTAGAACGTTTCATTATAACCTTACCAAGAGATATAGTGAATTAAAAAGATTTGCCCAAATTAAGCCGCGGCAAACTTCCTCGTTAAGTTTGTTTCCAAAACGTAGCACATGCATCTCGATCGATAACTAAATCCATCATCTTGGATTTAGATGAGCCTAAACGTTGAATATCATCCATCCTAGTGTCCACTTTGTAGCACGTTAAAGATCTTTTCCCTAACTTAATTTTGGAGGGTCTATCTAGAACGCTGACAGCGTAAAGAAAGATTTTGTTTGTCTTTGAAAATGGCGACCAACTTTTTTTGAATTGGCTACCACTTTGAAGAATTTAGGAGCCAAGTGGCAATCAGAAAAAAAAGTTAATTTCATGCCCTGTACTCAAAAGAGAAAGCTTAGAACAAAATCCTCTTTTTTGTGGTAAGATCATGTGGTACACATATTAAAATATAAATTTAATAGAAATCTTTAAGTTAGTTTCATTAATTTCTGTTCTCCAACTTCTTTCTCTCACCAGGTTCATGATGGTTGGCTTCAGAGGTACATATGTGGGCTCTCATCTTATGAGGAGTCAGGGAAGGTATCACCATGGAGCCCCTATGAACATCAGCTCATTTTACAGCCCTCCCACCCTGAGCCAGCTGCGCCATGGAATCGAATCAGCATTTATGTCATTAAGAAGCCAGTAAGGAGGGAATTGTTAAGAAAAAGGTTAATCTCTTTACTGTGCTATTTTAATTATGGTATTTTTAAGCATTAATCATTAATGGTTTGCCTGACAGTGTAGTCATTTCAGAAGTGGATGACAATAGTCATCTTCAAGTAATGAGGTCAACTGGTTGTATGCCACCTTGTGGAGCACTATGCTCTACTGTTAGATTGGTTGAGTTTAAGACCTGTGATTGGCACATTACAGTTTATTACCTCAACTATTAAGAGGTGCAATATTTCAAATAAATTTATACCACATTGGTGAATAGTGTTTTTTGCCTGCTTATTGAAGAGTTTGGAAGTGATTGGCAAGTACCATTAACCTCTGAGCAGCTGAAAAGACAAATGGCATGTCAACAATTTAATTTTTGACAATTTTTTAGTCAACTGACAGGAATACACTTATTTTTTTGGTTTCTGTGTGGTATGTATTAAAGCAATTATTCACCTCAGTGGTGGATAGTGACCTAGTGGTTTTGCAGGTAGGTAAATAATCATCACTATTCACCTCCACTTCAGTGAATAATTGTTTATTACATGAGGTATGTTTAAAGTCATATAATTTTAAATTTTGATCACCATTCATGAGTGGATTACATGTATCAATCTGGCTCTCAATTTTCTCTTTAATTTTTGTTG